TATGGTTTTATACATTAAACAAAGAATAAATAATTCATAAAAAATTTGCACTATTCATTTTTTTGAACTTTCGAAGTAATAAACTGCATCCGAAATGTTGTGTAACCCGGCAAATCTGTCCGGCTACCATTTTTTCGGGGCGACGCTAGGGTCGTTTAACCGTAATATCATTATCACATGATAATTAGTATCAAAAAAGTAGAGAAATTAATTTTAGAGTACATTTAGATGTATCAAAAAAAAATTAAATGATCAAAATCGTAAGTTTTGCTTCACAGCATCACATGTTGAGTGCTGCCAAGGAAAAAAGGCACATCAAAATTTTTTTTGATCAGAGATTTTTTATTTGAATTCTACAAATCTATAGAATTCAAATATCAAATTCGATCAAGTAGTTGTTGGGATATCTTTGATCAAACAAATGTTAATAAAGTTCAAAGTGCCTTGGCAGCACTCACATACCAAATACCGATTATCAAAGCAGCTTTTGAGAGACAACGGTGAGCGTTAAAATCGCCAAAGAAAAATATAGTAATAAACTTTATTACGAAAAATTCGTAAACTGCATGATCTAATTTCAAGTGCTAATTTCAGACAGGTACAGCGTCAGGTGTAACTATATTCTGATGTTAGCTTCATAAATACTACGGAATTAACATGGAAAATAAAGACAATATTATTATTATTATAAGTTATTTGGATTTTGTATTTAAAATTGGAAATTCTTAAAATTATTTTCATTTTATTCGCGTTGATTAGTCTGAACATAAAAGTTATTTGCATGAATAACGTGGAGCGAAAATAATACGAGCGATGGATGGCGTGAGGAATGACTATTTAATGATCGATCACTTCTCTACCGACCATATAAAAAAAATTCTTATGATCAGTCAAAAATCAAACAAATCAAATTATCGATCATTCCCCAATTGATCCATCTTTACATTTAATTCATCCTATGAATTAATTTATTAATACGGTCTTCGCGGTCACCGAAGTCACCACCCTCAACGTAGTGTCTGAACTTCCTGGTAGACCAGCCACCGTTGGGGTTGGATAGCTTGAAAGGCCAAAGAAAATTACTTGCTTGCTTAAACTTTGCAAAATGAAAAAAAAGGAATATATCGGACGAAAATATTATAAGATTAAAGTTAATTAAAAACTTATAAATGTTTAAGAAATTACAAGTTGACTCACATTTGGACCAACAGTGTAAATCTCATGAACCAAATCTTCGATGCAGATAATACCAAATTTCCCCAAATTTTGTTCAATGATAGCATTGTCGGTTATAGGGATACGTTGCTTGTTTACTTTCGCATAACCACGTTTGTAAATAAGTTCACGGACAGACCTTTCAGTTAGAATATCAATATTAAAGAGCGTATTCTTTAAGTAAATTCGCAATATATTAATTGTATTAAAGTAATACAAACTTTAAATTTGGTTCACCATATGCAACATAGGGTGTAACCAATTGGAGCATTTGTTTTGTTGCCTTAGTCAATCGAACAAATACACCATTATTGATTTGGAGAAGACGCAAAAGTTGAAGAATCTTACGGGGTTTAGGTGGAATATGGTTGATACTAATTTTATAAATTATTTATGTTAATAATTTACACGATAATGTATTAATATTCAACTTTCTAACGTTTTAATAGTAAAAGTACTTTTTACCCCTTGATACGAATAACAAAAGCCAATTTTGGTTGAGCAGGAACATAAAAATTGCCACATGCTTTAGCTTGACGACGCAAGCGGATTTCTTGGCGTTCAGCTGCACGATATTCCTTAACGTACTTTTCAGCGCGCTTGAAGATTATACGGCGGGACTTTTTAGCTTCCTAATACATACGTCGGTAATAGGGCAATTGAAAAAAAAAGGAAAATTATATTGAATTGTATGATTCTTTTATCATTGAAGGTTAACAGTGTCCTTGAAAAATGATGCTTATCAGTCCCGAAAGATGGTATTTGTGTAAATCAACATTGCCTTAGCTAGAATTATTTGAGGGATAAATTCCCCTTTTATCATCATATAAACAATCTTTTATATTTTCTGAACACTCAGATTCAAATCATTAAATCTCAATAATATCTCATGCTATACCTCGCGCTTTTTTACAAGAGCAGCTGCCTTTTCAGCAGCGATCTTCTCCTGGTTCTTCCTCTTTTTTAAGTGAGTCTCAGGAACACGGATCTGCTCAGCTGTAGCGACAGTTCTAAAATAAAAGATTAAATTTTATATTGTAAATACAAAATACACGTAGTAAATAATAAATAATTGTCCAAATAGAAAACTTACAATCCGTCGGTCATTGTCAATGCAAATTTTAAGAGAGGAAGAAAACTTTATTTCTCTAATTTGTTCCGAATTTTAAAATCTCATCAGATTGAAAATTTTATCTATTATCACGTGATAAAAAGTACTGCACTGACGGCCATGTGACTTTAATTTGAATACTACATGGGAAAGTCCACAGAAACATTTTAAAAACGAAGCAAATCTTGTTTAAAAAAAAAACCAATTTTATTAACCCCCTCAATCACTATCAAGATACAAAGGATTCTTACTCTTATATAATTTATTAAAACCAAACAATTATATATGAGTGCGCGAGAGGGAAAATCAGTAAGTAAAAATTTGGACCTAAAAAAATCATAATTTTTTAGGGTCCAAATTTTTACTTACTGATTTTCCCTCTCGCGCACTCATATATCGATAAACATCAGGGCTTAATTTTTATTGATACGATAAAAACGAAATACAGGATAGAAATATTATTCAGAGTCTACAGCCGTACTGTCTTTAAGACATACACACGATCCATGATTTAATAAAGACAAATTTGTAATTATATACTATGTTGCGTAAAGGTTTCTACAATTTATCAATCTCGAACATTCAACGTACACCATTTGAAGAGCACATCACCATAAACATGATGTCTGAACATCTTCCCATTTGACTCTCTACATTAGCAATGCTTTGTCTTTCTGATGTGCTAATAAATGGACAGTCAAAGGGAAGATTTTTCCGAAATTCCAAGTTAGAGTTTTTATTTTCAATCAGGATCTAGTATTATTTATTACGTGATGTGATATGATAAATTGCATAATAAGAGTGTGACAATTACCAACAAACCGTTTGACAACACAGTACGTACTAATCAATTTTTTGTACTATTTGCCGCAAATTAATCACATAAGGTAAAGGGAGAGTATTTTGCGGTATCAAAATTTATTTTATTCAAGCTTCATAATAGAAAAGAAAAGCCAATTTGGTATTTTATCACTTGGGAGGTAAAGTGGTGGATCAACAAATCGACATAAAATTGATCTATTCGCTTTATATGAATAAAAAAAGATTATTTATATGATTATTTTGTTATCCAGTGATCTGTTTTTTATATCCTTGGTAAGACAAATTGAACCATTAGATTTTATTTGATAGACTCGATATTATTGTGATCTGCCACTTTACCCACCTCGTCTATTACCCCTTTTACCTTATAAAAGTTTATTAAATAAATCAATCTTAGCATATTAAGTAATTTAAAAGATCAACAATTATATTTTTTAAAAATTTGATATGAATTAACTTTTTATTAATATATTTTTTGTCTTACAAAATATTGAGAACCAGGTTTTAAAATTCAGCTTGAACCAAACCAGGGTTTGGAACTTAATTTGGAGGTTAAAACTTTTTTAGAACCTAAACAAAACCCAAACTAACAAATCTAAGTAGCTGCAAAGAATCCAAGCTTTTCCACAGGTTTATTTCGCATCCGTTTTTCGTTTTTATCATTCTCTTCCTGTAGAAGCATCTTATCCAAACTGTTTATCAGGCTCTGTCCTAACGATCGCCCAGTCTATAAGGATAGGGGGCAAAATCTTATCAAAGTTGTTATAGCTGACTACCCTAACTTTTCCCCTTCCCAGAAGCCAAACCTGTTATATCAAGAAAGCTAAAAGACAATATTCAATTTAAATAACAAAGACATGTACCTGAATCATTTCACCCAATAAGCTATGTTCAATGCTTCCACTCCCGCTTTTTTGCATGCCGCAAATTTTACCATTCCTATTAACCATTACGTGCAATTTCGCTTCGGTGGTGAGTTCTTCTAATGGTGTTGCATCAACAATATGTCGAGAACCAATCTTCGTATAAGACAAAGAATAATTGATTATCACTGTTAATGGTCAGAGAGAAAATTTTCATAAACTTACCTTATTTAAGGTAACTGAAACTGGTACATGCTCCCAACCTTCGATCCTTTCCCATTCTTCTACGTCATCCGATAAATCGAATTCTACTTCACCATCACCGAGATCATTTATAATTGCTTTAGGAACCTGAGTGTTAAAGAGAGCGGCTCGTGTGGTCATAAACATCGTATCCACTATATTACCGGCGTAATCTAGTACCTAAAAATCTTTGATAAACAACAATAACGTGTGATATTCAGAATTAAAATTGTAAAAAAATAAATGGATTTACCAAAGCGTCAATGTAGACAATCCAACAAGCTTTTCCTGGAATAATACATAATTTTTCGAGATTTAAGCCAGCCTGTGGACCATTTAAAACACGAGACATCATCTGCGTAAGCTCATTATTTATATCATCGGCGCCCCTTCCTGCAAATTGTTGTGATGCAATCGGAGAACTACAAAGCTTAAAGTGACTTAGGTAAAAAGCGGAGAAATTACCTCTTACAATAAATAAACTTACCACTCTACATTACATACTACTCTTCCCCTCTTTGCCTTTATATTTGCTACCTCTTCTTCAGTTCCATCGACTTCCACATTACCGATGTCAACTCTCACACCAACAAGTACGTCAGTTCCTTCTCCTAACCTACACCTAGCACTGCCATTTGCCTGGGTGATAAGGCCAGTCTCTAATATCACTTCTCGGTAATCAAGACGTCCTCTCCCGTCAGCACGAAGGTTATCATCGATACCTTTGAGTATGTAATCTGCTTCTAAGGCTGAAATCAGTACTGGCGCCATTATTTTGAAAGGTGTTATAGCAGGGTCCAAATTATCTGCCCCGTTAGCAGGTCACCTGAAAAAAAATATTGAGTGGATCCGTTACACAATATAAAGGTAATATATACTGATAATACTGATACCGATACTCTAAATAAACTATAACTTTCCAACAAAACATGAGTTCTCAATCTCATAGGCATATACGTTTGGCCGGTGAGGAGTGGTGCATGAAGGATAGTGGATGTCATTTTATTGAATTAAATCAAGATTGTGCAGATATTATGGGACTAAGTAGTAAGTATTAATTATTCACTTTGTCAAGGACGTGACTTTATAATATATAAAAAAAACATTTTTTTAGGCAAAGAGCAGGCACAAGAAACGAAAGAATCTGTCGTAAATACACGGAATCCAAAGTTAGCCGCTGAGTTGCGAGAACTTTTTTCATTAATGTTGGCAGCAAGATCAAAATATCGTACAAAACTTCAAAATGATGCCTCTGAGGCGAAGATTGGAAAGGAGAAATCAATAATATGTGAAGAAGATGCTGATTCAAAAGGATCTGAGATGGAAATTGATTCTGGAGTGGTAGATTTTGATGGACAGCACGATGTTTCATCAGAGAAATCATATGAAAGAATTCGTACACGTAATGCCATGAGCAGTAATTTGATTTCTTAAGCTGTTGCTTAGTCTGCAACCATTAATAGTTTTAATATATTAATTGGAACTTTAATATCGTCAGATCCATCAAATCCTTCATCAGGTACACGACCAGATTCAAAAGTGTCTGGTGTTGAGCAGATCAAAACGGCTAAGAACAATGAAATATCATCAAATGCTAAGCAAAACGAAGTTATTAGAACAAATATATCAGCAACTAATTCGAATGCGCTCAGGATAAACGCGTCAGCGGTAAACCCAGCAATAATTCAAGGAAATATGTCCGTATATGGCCCGTTAAATCCTATACCTCCTCACATTGCGGGAGCCTTACCTGCTAATACGTCAGGTCAAATAATTTCACCTCCACTGCATCCACCTGGATATGCATCGCATCCATGGGAGTCTATACAACCACCTAGAATTATTCCAAACCAGCAGACAGGACCAATAACGTCCTTTTATAATCCAATTGTATCTCAAGAACCCATGATTTATCCGTATGGAGCAAATAATATCCAGCTCCAATATGTTGGAAACACTTTTGGATTGCCACCAGGACAATGGCCTCAACCATATACATACGGAAGTCATCCTCCTTATCAGTGGACACATCCCCATGATGCTCGAAACTCATCAATGATTGTAGATCCTCAGTGGAACGCAGCGCAAACATCATGGTCTAAAAGGTAATTTGTTATATAGTTGTTTCACGTAATTTCAGTTTACTAGAAGTGTATCGACTCGTCTTAATGATTAATGTATTTAAGAAATAATCAAAAATAGCAAAAATAGGTAAATAATTAAATAATTCGAACTGAAATAAATTAAATGCGATAAATTATAATTAATCATTTCACATTAATAACGATCAAAGCAGAACTTTTTGAAGACTATTCAGTAAGCTTAATAATAAAAGTGATTTGGATCATTAGTCTAATGAACTTACTTATTATCTGTAAGACTATAATGTTGAGGTGAGGGATATATGCTATCAAATTCTCAATTCTTATCATCGATTATCT